TCACTCAGAGTTACCACATTAATCACAGGGAGGGAATGAGAAGGATGAGTTGATGGAGGCAGGAGGCCACTGGCCCTTAGCTGAAAGAGACAGATCATCTTTGTCTTTGCCTCTGAGAGCCTTTCAGTCATCTGGCCCTGCCCATGAAGAAGGGCTCTTCCCAGTCAGCCCTACTCGACTCCAGCCGCTGCTAGTTCTGACAGGTACAGTGCTGTCAGGTCAGCCGAGCAGTCACCCAACCAGGTAGCGAAAGCCAGTGGGCCAGGGGACAGGGGGGTGTTGCAGTGACCTGTGGTTTTCAGCATGTAAGTCTTGCACATCTTTTGTTAAATGTATTCTTAACTATTTTCTGGGTTTGTTGTTGTTGCTGCTGTTGCTGTTGCTGTGGTTATTATAAATTGGAATTTTTTAAAAATTTCACTTTTCAATTATCTATGCTAAAAAATATGGAATGCTTCATGAATTTGCATGTCATCCTTGTACAGGGACCACGTTAATCATTTGTATCATTTCAGTTTTAGTATATAGGTTGCCAAAGTGATGTTATGTGTGTTTTTAATAAAAACATAACATGAACCCCTCCTGTGAATTTTACCTTTTACCTGAAGGGCAGGTAAGTCCCTTCTCTCCTGCAGACTCCCACACCGCCCTAGACCCCTACTCAGGCATTACGGGATCTCTGCGCAGAAACTACACCTTCTGCCTTGTTATTATCTGGCTCTTTCAGCCAAGATGGAGCCTGTATTCTCCACTGCAACTTAACACACTCATGCTGGCTGTGATTCTGTAAATTGGTTCAGCAGTCCTAAAACAGTGTGCAAAATGCCCGGAACCGACTTATTGCCTCAGTCCTCGCATTCATTCCCAAATATTACTGGAGAGGAGAGAGAGAATCCCGTCTCACGGACCTGTGGACAGCCAGAGAGGCTTTAACAATCCATTTCTAACCCAGGGGGCGGGGGGTTCTGAGCCTTGAGGGGAAGATGCTGCCTCCCCGGGAAACCAGCAGACATTTCTGGAAACCTCTCCTGAGCCTCAGATAAGACTGGCCTGATGTGCTTTCTAAGCTAACCACAGTGTCACCTTTCTTAAAAATTGCATTAAAATACACAAAACATAAAATTTGCCATTTTAAAGTACACACTTCAGTGGCATTAAATGCATCGACACTGTTGTACAACTCTCACCACCATCCATCTCCAGAACTATTTTATCATCTCATATCACAGTTTCATCTTACAAGATATTTTTATCTGATGTTAGGCTTTACTTATTTAAATATTTATTTATTGAAGAATGAATTATGGTCAATTAATCTACAACAAAGGAAGCAAGAATATACAATGGAGAAAAGACAGTCTATTCAATAAGAGGTGCTGGGAAAACTGGACAGTTATATGTAAAAGAATAAAATTAGAACATTCTCTAACACTATATACAAAAATAAACTCAAAATGAATTAAAGACCTAAATGTAAGACCAGATACTATAAAACTCCTAGAGGAAAACATAGGCAGAATACTCTTTGACATAAATTGCAGCAATATTTTTTTGGATCCGTCTCCTAGAGTAAGGGAAATAAAAGCAAAAATAAACAAATGGGACCTAATTAAACTTAAAAGCTTTTGCACAGCAAAGGAAACCATAAACAAAATGAAACGACAACCTACAAAATAGGAGAAAATATTTGCATATAACAAAACAGACAAGAAACTAATCTCCAAAATATAAAACAGTTCATAGAGTTTAATATAAAAAAAACCCAAACAACGCAATCAAAAAATGGGCAGAAGACTTAAATAGACGTTTCTCCAATGAAGACATCCAGATGGGCAACAGGCACATAAAAAGATGCTCAATATCACTAATTTTTAAAGAAATGCAAATCAAAACTAGAATGAGGTATCACTTCACACTAGTTAGAATGGCCATCATTAAAAAGTCTACAAATAATAAATGCTGGAGAGGGTGTGGAGAAAAAGAACCCTCCTGCACTGTTGGTGGGAATGTAAATTGGTGCAGCCACTATGGAAGACAGTATGGAGGTTCCTTAAAAAGCTAAAAATAGACTTACCACATGATTCAGCAATCCCACTCCTGTGCGTATATCCAGAGAAAACTATAATTTGAAAAGACACATGCACCCCAATGTTCACAGCAGCACTATTTACAATAGCCAAGATATGGAAACAACCTAAATGTCCATTGACAGATTAATGGATAAAAATGTGGTCTGTATACATATGTGTACACACACACACACACACACACACACACACACACACACACAGGAATATTACTCAGCCATAAAAAAGAATGAAATAATGCCAATTGCTGCAACATGGATGGGCTTGGAGACTGTCATATTAAGTGAAGTAAGTCAGACAGAGAAAGACAAATATCATATGATATCACTTATATGTGGAATCTTAAAAAAAATACCAATTTTATTTACAATCCAGAAATAGACTCACAGACATAGAAAACAAACTATGGTTACTAACAGGAAAGTGAGGGGAAAGGATAAACTGGGAGTTTGGGATTAACAGACACACGCTATATACATGTATGTATATATACACACACGTATGTATGTATACGTATAACATTATTGCTTTGCTGTACACCTGAAACTAACATTGTAAATCAACTAGACTTCAATAAAAAATAAAATTAAAACAAACAAGCAAACAATAAATAATGAATTAAAAGCAGGTTTCCCCAGCCTTCCACTCCCAAACCATTTGGCTGCCCCGTGATAAAGGATGTGATAGAGATCTTTCCTCGTGGCTCCTATTAGCTGGTCCAGACCTCACTGACTTAGCCCAGCTGGGGGTTGTGAAACTACAGGTCTACTCACCTAAGTAGGGGTAGGTGAATTTCTAGGGGGACAGGGCCTCCGGATTAGGTCCAGCCCTCCCCTCTGCTCTGGCCAGGGCTCCATTAGAGAGGCTGCAGTCCTGCCGACCCCAAGTTGTCTAGGGTCTGCATTACTTCCCGCCTTCCACCTGGGACCCATGGTTTCCTGAGCCTCCACAAGCCCCTCTGAGTGTAATGAGGGGACTCTGAGCCCCTTCCTCAAAAGTGAGTCTCTCTCACTTTGAGCAGAGCCTGAGGTTGGTGGTCATCAGGGTGATAACTGGGCCCGTCTGTACACACACTCTGGTTCTTCGCAGCATAACTGGCTTCAAAGAAGGAGTTTGATCTTATAAGGAATTTCAGCCCTGCTTGACAGCCCCAGAGCCCCCCATCTGCTCTAGTCTCATCTCCTGATGGGCTTCCATGAGGAGCCTTGGCTGCCTCCCCTGGGGACCTTCCTCTCATCCTTGGGTTCCCACAACAGTGAATGAACCCAGCGTTCCGGACCGTTTCCACAGGACCCAAGGTGAGGAATTTCTGGGCTCTGCGCAGCCCCGATAAGGCAGGCCTGGGACACACCTCACTGGCTTCAGCCACAGCTTGGCTCTCCTTGCCAGAATAGGGAGGGCCAATTCCACAGGGCTCTGGGATTATACTGGCCCTCAGACATGGTTTGCCAAGGGACTACTGCTAAGTGGGAGTGGGGATGGGGGTTTGAGCAAGAGACTAGGGTCCAGGCGTCAGGCTAGCAGGGGTCAGAGAGATGATGGGGCAGAGGTGAGGCAAGCACCACCTAGCCTTATCCCTACACATCTGTATCCCACTCCACCCTCCATCAAATCCCTGAACCACAGCACTGCCACTCCAGTAAGCAGAGGGATCATTCAATCAGCTGTGATGTCCAGCAACTTACTTAAGCTTTCTGAGCTGTAAAAATAGGGATTCTATAAACTACTTATCCAGAAGGGTTTTGGAAGACTGAATATGAATGTTCCTAGTGTAATACTAGATACTCAGAAAGTGTGTAATACACATTATTTTCCTTTCTGCTTTCTTCTCTGGTTGAGCTTTATGCACATTGCTTTGTCTTTATCAAGGAAGCTAGACAAGCTGGCAGTTCCCAGAAGGGGTGGGAAAGCCACTGTTTTCTCTTTGTGCCCAGAAACACTGCCCCAGATGGATGGCTTCCCCCAGAGACCACCAGGTACCACTGGAGTATTGAGACCCTGGAGATTGAGCTGGGTAGAGTGGACAGTCGGGTAAACGGGTACGGTAGAGGAGAAACAACGTTCCCGGAAGACCCAACCCTTACCAAGACCCACCAAGGACACTTATTCTTTATGTCACTGCCACTAAAGATTTCCAACCTGAGACCTCAGTTCAGTTTAATTAGAACCTTCGGGGGTGGGGCTAGCTTTGGGTAGTGTTTAAAAGTCCCCAGGTGTTTCTAATGTGTAACCAGGGTTAAGAACTACTGGTCCAGTCCAACCTCCTCATTGTAGAGATAAAAACACACATTTACAAGCAGTAAAATATTTAAAGTGACAGACAGAATTTAGTGCAAAGTAGGTTCCCCAAAGAGGGAGGCTATTTTTATTTCATTATTTCTGTTATTGCTTTAGACAGAGCTGGCTTTCAAGGGCAGGTGACTTGTACCGTCACATAGGTCCTCATGCTTAGAAGGGCCCTATGCTTGGTTTACTGCTCTGCTGTTGCTCTTTTGAAACTATGATTTTTTTTTAACAAGGGGCCCCACATTTTTTCACTTTGTACTGGCTCTGCAAGTTGTGTAGCTGGCCACGACCCTAGGTCACACAGCTCTTAAAAGCAGAGTGGATTATCACCCCGTTAAAGAAAGATGAGGGACACACGCAGGGCTCAGAGGCTTGCTGGCTGTGGGGCTGGCCTGGGTCCACTGTCCAAGGAGGTTCCTTCTCCTGTTCATTCCATCACAGGGAGGAGGCTGTCTTTACATCTCTTAGGGGAAGCAGTGTAAGAGCCTCAGAGCTCCTTCTTACCAGCTGTGAGAGGCCCTCTGAGCCTCAGTTTCTTCTTCTGTAAAAGGGGGAAACAATGACTGTGAATTATGGTGAGGAGTGCCCAGAATCATGACTGTCCCTCTAGATGCTACAAATATGTGACTTCTTGTCCCTTTATTGGGAAGAGGGGGACCCATGTGCTCCAAGTGCCACCTTGTCAGGTCTTTTTTCTTTTTCTCCTGGGAGGCCCAACTACATTAAGTTCTCAGATTTCTGCTTTTCCCATAAACTAAGAAGCAGTTCTGGGGAAAGGTTTCATTCTGGAGCAGGGCATACAGGCTTCAGAACCATTAGTAAAGAGTTGCTGCTACTGCCCTCTGGTGGTAATGTATCTGTATCTGCACAGATTCCTAACATCCTTTTGGGAATTACAAAAATGCCTGGTAATACACTACAATTCAGTTAAAAAAAAACCTTGCTACTCTACTAGGCACTAGGGATGCAAAGACAAATAAAACATAGTCTTGTTCTCTAATAACTCACAGTTTAACATGTATTCCAATGTTCATAGCAGCACTATTTACAATAGACACGGCATGAAGCAACCTAAGTGTCCATTGACAGATGAATGGATAAAGAAGCTGTGGCATAAATACACAATGGAATATTACTCAACCATAAAAATGATAAAATGTCATATGCAGCAACATGGATGGACCTAGAGATTATCATATTAAGTGAGGTAAGTCAGAGAAACATATATCATATGATATCACTTATATGTGGAATCTAAAAAAATGATACAAGTTTACAAAACAGAAAGAGACTCAGACATAGAAAACAAACTTATGGTTACCAAAGGAGAAATTTGGGGAGGAACAAATTTGGAATTTGGGACTAACAGATACACACTACTATACATAAAATAGATAAATGATAAGGACCTACTGTATAGCACAGGGAACTAAATTCAACATCTTGTAATAACCTATAATGGAGAAGAATCTGAAAAAGAATATATATATATAACTGGATCACTTTCCTGTATACCTGAAACATTATAAATCAACTATACTTCAAGAAAATAAAAATTTCAAGTGATAAAAAAAAGAACTCACAGTTTAGAAAGTGAAGCAAACTCTTAAGGAGATAGCTTGAACATAGGACGATATGATAAGTTTTAATAAAAACAATGACTCCTGAGTTCTGGTCCCAGATAAAAGGGAGTAGACCTATTTATTCTTATCCTTCCCACTAAGGAGAGCTAAAATTCCCCTGCAAATTCTATATAAACAAACATAAGAAGACTCTGAGAGTTTGGGAGAAGAGGCAGACTGATTAGGGATCACTTGAGACCCAAGAAATGTCATGGCAGTGAGTTCCCTGGGTTTTCTTTTTGCCTTTTATATCTGACTAGACACTGAAGAAGTTAGCAATCTAATATACCAATGGATGCAGGCAAAAAAAAAAAGCCCCCAGAAAAGTTTGCTCTGTCTAATCCAAAGACTGGAAGGGGGTAGACTAGCAAAACATAAAATGTTTAGACAATAATTAATAACTCCAGTCCAGCCAAACTAAAAAATACATATATATGTGTGATAAAAATATAATACATATAATTTATACTTCTAATCATGTTTAAATGTACAGTTGAGTAGTGCTAACTATATTCACATTGCTATATAACAACTTCCCAACTCATTTTACAAGGCCAGTGTTCCATGACACCAAAACCAGACAAAGATAGTGTAAGAAAAGAAAACTATAGACCAGTATGCTTTGTGAATATAGATGCAAAAAATCTTTACAAAATATTAGTAAGGAGAATTCATCTATACATAAAGAGACTTACATACTATGACCACGGGGGATTTATTCCTGGTATGCAAAGCTGGTTCAATATTTAAAAATCAGTCAATGTAATTTACCATGTAAACAAACAAAAATCTCACGATCATATCAATGGATGCAGAAGAAGCATTTGACAAAAATTCAAGACCTACTTCTGATAAAAAAAAACTCTCAGGAAACTAGAAATAAAGGGGAAATCTCTCAGCTTGGTAGAGAACATCTATAAATCAGCTAACAACATATTTAATGATACAAGGTTGAATGATTTCCCCCTAAGAAGCAAATATGTCTGCTTTCATCACTCTTATTAAGCCATCTCAATTAGGCTAGAAAAGGAGATAAAAGGCATACAGATTGGAAAGGAAGATGTAAAACTGCACCTATTTGCCTGATGCATTACCTACAAAATCCCAAGGAATCTACAAGAAAATCAAAAACCCCCAAAACTTTCATAGAACTAATACATGAATGTAGCAAGGTTGCAGGATACATGATCAACATGCAAAAATTGATTGCATTTCCATAAGCTAGCAATGAATACACAGAAAATAAAGTTTAAAAAAATGTGCAGTTGTTCAAAAAAAAGACTTTAGGTATAAACTTAATAAAACATGTACAGGATTTGTATGTTTAACAACAAACCCTACAAAACAAATCTTTTTTTTTAACGAAAAAATCAAAGAAGATCTCAGTAAATGAAAAGACATTACCATATTCACATATGTATTGGAAGACTTAGAGTAAAGATGTCAAATTTCCCCAAATTGATCTATAAGTTTAAAGCAATTCCAGTAAGGTTATTTCTAAACATAGACAGGCTTAATCTAAAATTTATGTGGAAAGGCAAAGGAACTAGGAAAGATAAAAAACTAGGAGAGCTGCCACGTTATCTTACTACAGAGAGAGGTTGCCTCCTCCCACTTTAGGCCAATACTCAGTGCCCTGTATTAAATTCTTCCTGCTTTAAATCCTAGAATGGTTTTTGAGTCCTGCACTGAATCCACCACCCTTTTTTCCCCAAGCCTCCCAAGTCATCCTCATCATCTGGATTTTAACCCCTTACAGCTCCCCTAAGCTGACCCCATCTCTCATCCTTCCTTGACCTTCCTACAGTGTCTTCTAGAATGGCAGTCTCCCAGAAATAAACTCCCTTATGTCCTCTGCCCTTCACCTTCTTTCTCTATCAGAAAACTGGCTAATGCCTGTATACATCATGTCCCCTATATTCTCCTCAAGTAACGGCTGTTTACCCTCTCACAACCCTCATTCCACCTGGCCTGCAGGTTCAGGTAGCTGTTCTCCTTTTTCCTCCTCCATAAAACCCCAGCCTCTTGGATATTAGACTATACCCTGCCTCCTTGTCACAGTCATCTGCAGATCTCTACCTTACTTACTAAACATTTTGACCGCTGGCTCACTGTCTCTCCACCACTGCCCCGTCACCATTCTTGGTAACTTCAGTATCTGTATAAATGATCCAACCAATACCAGGCTCCTTTGCAGCTAGAGGTAGAACCACATGACTCACTGAGATTTACGTCAAGATCTGAAGATAGAGGTGGTTTCTGTGAAAGCTTTTCTTTCCTGCTGGGGGACCTGCTCTCTTCTTCCTACCTTGAATGCCAATGGGGTGTATGCAGCCTTCTTGTGATTATGAGCATGTGGAAAAGGCAGGAGGA